CCGCCACAATGCTCAGCTTTTTTTTGTTGTTTGTTTTTTGTTTTTTAGGTTTTTGTCTGGGGCTGGGTTTGAACCTTCCACATCCAGTATATGAGGCCAGTGCCCTACTCACTGAGCCACAGGCACTCCCCTTGATTTTATATTTTTAATCTACCTAGAATTAATAGATTTAGGCAGTTGTGAACTAGAGGGGGGGGAAAATCCCTCTGGCGTATGTAGTTCCATACTTAGTTTGATTCAAAGAACAGAAGCAAAAATGTTAAAATTAAACATTTCATAAATTCTCTTTCTATTTACTTACCTTTTGGCATGCTGTGTTATTCTGTGTCGAGACAAACGTTATTTCTGGGATGGGAATACTGCCTTGCATTTTTGCTGTGGAAAATACAAATGCTAACAGGCCCAGTGTTATGAAATGCAGCAGAAGAAAGGGCCGGGAACCTGATCATCTCGTCAGCTCAGATTCCATCTTGACTATGCTTTTAAGAGTCACTACCTTATTTTCCACATAATTATAAATACTTTGTAAGTGGATACCTTATTACAGTTGTTTTTACCAAGTTCCTTCACACTCCCCTACAACAGCTTCATAGTCTAGGTACAGCAACGCTATTGTTACTGTCTAAGAGGAGAGTAAACCCTTTGCCAAAGCTCATGAGAAAAACAGTGATGGGAAGAGCAAGCTCTTAGGTGCCTGATTCACTTCTCACCTCCCGCTCACTCGTCTGAGTTTCAGTGTTTGTGTCCCAAGGACAGCTGGAGAATTCCGTCCCCGTCTCGTTGCTTCCTCTCTGTGTTTGTGGGCTGTTGAGCACAGATCTAAGGCCTGCTGCAGAACTCTGCTCACTCCTCAGATAGCAGGAGCAGGAGGAAATGAAAAATTTCTCTTAGTGTTTCTCTTCTGAGATCCCATGAAATATTCATGCCCTTGACCAGAGAATGACCTTAAATACTACAGCTTTGGAAGGCATTATTGTCAAATTTCCCTTGAAGTCCCATTGTCTGTTTTATTAAAATGTAAAACGTTCCAAACCCCTAAAGTTAGAATTATAAGCACATATTCTGTGCTTAAGTGCATTCTTC